ACTATATCAAAATATTCTCTAATAAAAATTCGCTTCCAAACAAAACACAATAATAAAATGCAGTAGTAAAATGTAAACAGTAACCTGTATAGCATAATTTGTCTGAAAATATTATATATTATTTATTTTCTTAATTGATTAGAAAATAATCTGTACCTCAATATGTAGGTATCTTAGTTTCTATTTTGAGTTAATTTTTAATTAATGTTTCAATTATGACTACTAATAATAAACATCATCTTTGCATTGCCAAAACATGTGTTTACTAAAGACAGTAAAAACAAGCTATTAACTTTATAACTTTTAATTTATAGAATTAAAATTTAAACTATTAGTTATATTAAAGTCTATTATTTGAAATTAACCATAAATATTTCATAGCCTCTATATCTACAATCACATAATTTATCTTTTACTTAATTCTAATTTCAATAAGTTGCCTTCAACTGATTGACAATTATTTTCATTCACTATTAAAAATCAATGAAATAAAAATGTTTTATTTTTCTAATGAAAAGACTAGTGTTAACAGTTCCTATTTAACGCAATGACTATAGGTTAGTAAAAATTAGGAACAAGTTAAATTTAAAATAACATATAAAATGGTCTAGTATTGCTTCCAACTTTATTTCAACTCCTTTAGAATTATTTCACCTTGGAATAGGATCATATTAACTTCTAAACACAAATCTATCTTGTGTCCCTTCATGAAAGTTCTTAGCATCAATATATCACTGAAAGACAAAATCTATACTTTTCACTGAGTTCAAATGGAACCTTTAAACAGTTTCCAAAGATGAAAAGCAGACTCCAACTGGTCTTCAAAAATCTGTCTTATACATACTCTTCTCACAGTGAATAAATAGTGTTTTCATTATACCCAACAGCCAGCAAAGAAGCGTTTTACCTTGTTTCTTCTGCAGAGATACCTCAGGAATATCAGTTAATATTATAGAAGTTTTCACATAAATCTTATAGATATTCTATCCCAGGAAATCCAGTACTTACACAAATTCCCATATAGCACTACTGGCAATGCAGATGGAAATTCATGATTTTTTTTTTTTTTAATATACAGTCACTTTGGTTTTTGCTCCAAGTTGGCTTTAGTGTGTGCCAATATAAGAAAGTACAGTAGCCACTCATTTGCCAGCATCCCAAGAACAAAATTTTAGTTTCATATGTATCTTACAGTAGAATTTTGAAAGAGAAAAAAATTGTATCAAAAATATCAGTATTTACATTTGGGACAAATTATGGCTGGCCCCAAAGCACAGGAACATAAGCAAATGAACACATTAAAAAATATTTTTAAAATTATATTTTCTAAATGGTGTCTTTTGTAACGATTGAAAAACAAAAGCTTGCTTTGGGAAAACAAATACAGTGTTATGGTTTGGATCTGAAATATCCTGTCAAAGTACATATACCTCAGGCTTGTTTTCCCGACAGAGGCGTTCAGAGGTGAGGCTCTTTGAAAGATGGCTTGGTTTAATGGGGGCCCTAACCTTACCATTGAATGTATCTTTTGTTGAGCTCATTATCCGGTGGACTTACTGACAAATGGTAAAAACATTAAGACTTGGGACTAGTTAGAAGCGTGCCCTAGCAGGGTACATATGCTCCCTAGCCTCTTTTTCCACCTTGGTCATCCTCTTTGCTTCCCGGCTGCCATGAGGTGAGCAGCTTTCCCCCACCAGACCCTTTCACCATGATGTTTCCAGGTCCTAAACCAAAAGGTCAAACAACCACGTACTGAAGCCTCTGAAACTAAGCCATCAATGGAAAGGTGACTAACACAGACCCTTTCCCAGTATTAAAAGACAAGGGGCAGATCAGAGGTGCTATCTGAATTTAACTCTTTCCATATTTCCTCTAGAAATTAATAAAGAGCAATACAAAGAAAAATGCCCACACCTTGCAGTAAAAATAGGATGTAAAGAAATTACAATTTGAACTTTTCTAAGTGGGATAAAAGTATCCCAGACGAAAATATTCTAGCATGCCATTTATATTTGTAGTATAAAATCTACATTTACAATAGCATACATGTAGTTTACAATCTACATTTGTGCAGAGGGAATGCAGTGGAAAATGAATGGATGAAAAGCAAAGAGTCCTCAGTAACACAAAAATCTTATCATCAACAAAATTTCCCTCTAGAAATAAAGAACACCATTTTGAGTGGAATGACAGAATTGAGACCAAAGATATAAATGTAATTAATACAAATGGCCACGGCCTATATGAATGGAAAAACTTTAAAATTTGGATCAAAAATAAAACTCAAAGCTATGTTGTATAAATGTAAGGAACTAAAAATTATTCAATAAAGTTAATAAAAAGATGGTTAAGTAAGCAAATGCAAAAGAATCATAACAGGAAATTTAAAATTAAATTTAAAAGCAACTAGATACAAATATGGCAACTTGTAATGTTTACAGTTACAATTAACCATAAAAGTTACATTTATCTATGAAACATTACAGCAACTTTCATAAAGCAGAAAACCAAGGATATGAAAAAACTGACTAATAACACAAATTTAAAATATACAGCTCAATTCCTGCAGTCCAAGATAGATCAAGCAGACAGAAAATCTAAAACAAATGGTCACTAAGGTAGATCTTATAGACAAATAAATAAACTCTAAATCTCAGTAAGAAAACAAACCTGCCTCATTTGGAATTCACATAAAACATTCATGAAATTTCACCTAGATGGGGTAACAAGAAAGCCACAATAAGACCCAAAAACAATATCATGCAAAAAAATAGAAAATAACAAGAAAATAACATAGCAAAATTTTAACTATTCGGTTAAAAGACAATCCAAAATTGCAGAATGAATGAAAATATCTACATATAAAAAGTATAGACTAATTTAGCATTGCTTGGAGAAAAATTTATGGATTTAAGCTTATTTAAGTAAGCACCTAAGTAAGGAACTGAATATATTTATATAAGTATTTAAGTATTTATAGGTTTAAGACAACAAGATTAAAAAAGATTTTACAATACTTGAATTAAATATTACACCGGAAATATAAACACAATAAGAAGAAAAGGAGAAGAAACTGGTACTACTAAGGACTAGTGATGAATGAGCAAAATGGCACCATACATATGAAAGGAATCATTCACTATCACCTGAAATTGCAGACATTGTTTGTCCCAACCATACAAATTGGAGATTAACCTAAAGATAATATCAGATTAAGTATCAAATGATTTAAGTATCAGGATGTCTACGAATAAGACACCAAGTGCTATAGAATAACTGCTGTATTCATACAACAGACTCTCACACAGCCGTGGGGAAACAGTGTCATAAAATCCATGGTAAGTGTGGAGGGGAAAGCAAAATAGAGGACAGTAATCACAATAAGCTACATTTTGTGAAAGAAAAGCTTACCATATGTACAAGAGGTGATCTAAAATATATGTTTAAATTTTAAGAAGAAATATTACAGTAAAAGATATACTGCCACAGCTACTTCTCAGAATAACACCCTTTGCTTGAAGGACACCTTTCCCACCATTCTTGCCAGTTTCCGAACCAGTTCTGGGAGTCCTCTTTCATGAGTGTCCTTACATGTGATGAATGCTGCTGCCGGGGGCCATCCAGGGAGAAGGCAGGCTCGTAAAAACCATTACTGTGTGCTTCATCCACCGCATTCGCCAGCTCTGGTACTGGGGGACTCTGCTCTCGCTCTTCCCCCAGATCAAAATCGCCAGAAAAGATAAGAGTTCTGAATCTATTCAGCGCTCCAAGGCAGCTGTGACAGCACAACTGAAGTCACGACTGAGGACTTCTAGGATGGCTTCGGAAAGTGGCAAGAATGATGCAGTGAGTGTGCTGGAAGCAAAGGGAAGTATTTCGAGGAAGGTCAATGGCAAGGAGTCTTTTCCTGTAAATTAAAAACAGTTAAACATAAATTGAAATTTTGACCATGCACATATTGTGATACACACCATCTACACATATATAGTAATATGTCGGCTCAGGGACACTTCTACTCTTCACTATTTGGTTTGCAAACAGAAACGTTAGGCAAAATTTTGCTTCCCCTTGCCAACTCCGCATTGCATCAGATGATGAACACAACTGCAGCCATCCTTCCCAGAATTGTGGAACAAATTAAATGCGTGAACCAATTAAGTTCATGAACCGAGGTATCGCTGTCGGTCATACATACAAATATATACATGTAAAAGGGTAAATATTTGCAATGTTAAATATACAAAAACATTAATATATAAAGGAATGGAAGAACAGATTTAAAAGGATGTGCATAGACACACAATCCTGAGTATGTCTTTTTAAATCTTAGTTTTTCACTTTGAAATCAAATATCTTTTCCTTTACTAAGTGGATTTTGCAGTATATGATTACATTCACCACGGGGAGGTGGTACATGTACATAACACATCTTAATTCTCAAAAAATGTATTATTTAATGAAATGGGAAAAATGATCTAATTTTTTCATATTAAATTCATAACCTAAATTTAGAAAATGCTACTTTAATCATAACTCCTTGGAGGACATTATTCACGGACAAAAAAAGGAATATAAAGAAATCTTAAAATAAACTTAGGAAGTTTTACTGTTCGTAGCAAGATTGGCACTTATATTTTGAAGCTATTTTATAGATAAAACGCAAGTGTTTAGAAATCGTGGTATCCAACTGGGATTTCACATCCACTTGTGGAGCCCAGGTCTCCACTAGAAAATTGTTCCTACAGAAAAAGAAGAGGAGGGAACATATTAACCTATGGTGCTAGTTATACCTGCTCATTTGCCAGAGATGGATCACAATCCTTTTCAATACTTTAATAACAATCTCACTTTTCTAATCTAGATGATACAAGATTAAATAAATTTAACATAAAATTTGCACATTAGCAAAGATGGCTTATTCTTTAAAAAAGAGCAAATGAAACAAAATACAATCATTTGAAATACATATTTAAATATTAAAATTCCATTGTTCTTACCAATTCGAGTAATTTTATTATGTGAAAGCTCAAGATTTTGGATATTAGTGCAGCCATCGAAACCATGAAGAGAAGTCAGTTGATTTTTATTAAGAAGAACCACACAGAGATTTTCCAAATCTTCACAATTGATACTCTCAATATGGTTTTCCTAAAGAAAAGAACAAATATAATAAATTTTATTTCAATGACTTATTAATGACATATTTAAAACTTGCAAAGAAGAGGAAGTATGAGATATGATCACCAAATGAATATATGAATCTCTAATTTCTACAATAAGCTTGCAAAGTGTTATACTACGTATACTAAAATGTTAGGTAACCTAATAAACCATTAACTAAATTTAAATGTATTTACTAATATATTTTGAAAACAAAAAATACAGAAGTCAACATACCAAAATATACAAAACAACCTAAATGAACAAGAGTACTTATTGTGTCATTCTTGCTTCTCCTGTTTTTGGATGGCAGCAACTATTGTAGTTAATCAAGTCCTATATCACCATGAAACGCAGGGGTGCAGTGGGAAATAACTTTGCATTTTATTTTGTAGATCTCTTGAGTTCAGAGAACTGTACCCAAGAACTCCACACAAAGAGCTTGATCTCTCTCTGGATCTGACTTAGATGAGAGGCCTCTGCTTGTAGGATGCATCTGATGTCAAATATTGATGTGACATTGGAAACTCTGCGACATGAATGGGTTTTGCAAGTGGTAAAAATGTGAATCCATCGGTAGCCGGAAGGTAGATTGTAACACATTGTTATTTTGTTAGTCCAAATAAGCTTCACAATATTAGCACATCCTCCCACATGAACTCACAACTTAGCCAATAAACCATTGGCCCACATATTGCAAGCAAGATACTCGATAAACAATATAGCATATTGGAGTTTTTCCTTTTGGAATACTCACAGGATCTGAACACTCTGGAAAGGGCCCAAAATAACTAGGAGAGATTCCAACCTGCAGACACAACTGTCAAGGCAGAGACATACAACAGAGAGGATTCCAGACCTTCTCAAACTACCTTCCATTTGACTGTGGTTACATAAGAGACTCAGTCAACAAAGCATGAAGCAGAAGTAATGCCCCAATGAGCCACATGAATTATAAGCAAATGAGATGTTGGTTGTTTAAACATACCAGGTAATGTAGTTATTTGTTAGCAAAAGTAACAAATATCTGCTAAAAGAGATAGGTCATCCCAGGTCTTGCCATCTAATCATCTATTCTTTGTTTTCCTAAACCAAGGCCTTAAGTCTCTCTTTGAATCCTTACTTACAAGTTATTTGATAACTCTAACCTCAAAGCTATTCTGAATTGTAAACTTTTATATTTTGTTGTAGGTTAAATAGTAGTAACAGAGGACATACCTGTGCATCGATGCATTTAAGGTTTTTGCATTTACTCAAACTGTGCAAAGAAGTTAATCCACAGCGTCTAAGAGATAGAAACTGAAGATTCACACACTCGGCCAATGTGGACAGACTACAACCGGGCAAATCTTGAAATGTAACAGTTGTAACCTTGAGAATTTAAGAAAATTGGGATGAGAAACATCAAAAGAACAATATAAGATACACTAGGCATGTGAAACTGTTTTGAAAAATTCATCTAAGAAAATAATATTATAGTTCAGAACTGCATTTATTTTTTCATTCTTTTAATTCTTTTTTTTTAAATTGAGTTTACTGGTACATTTTAGGTATACAGTTTTATTAACCACTCAGTTTAAGTTAGGCTATCTGGTCTCTTTCTCCACATGGAAAGACAAAATAACCCAATCATTTATGATAAACAGAACTTCAAAGTTACATTTTGGTTTCTGTGACCTTGGCATCCTTCTCAGAATCACACCACATAAATATTCATGATCTGATATGACAGTGTCTTAGATATCCTGGGTAGGAGGAGTAGGTGGACCATATGTTCATGAAGATATAAAGAAGGAATTTAGTCTGCTCCTAGTTTTAAGTAGCAAAAATAATAAATGATATATTTTAAAACTCCAAGTAAAATAAGAGTTTTTGCTCTAATAATTATCTTAGGAATGTCTCACATATAATTTTTAACAATTTGGCAGGCAAATTATTTTTAATAATTTTTTTTTCAGAAAGCAAACATTCATCCATTTGTGTGGCAATTACTTCTAGATGTTGCCCAGTTAGTCTGTGTGTATAGAATTTACATAAATTCTATAATTGGAAAACTGGATCTGTAATAGAAGATGAAAGCATTATTTAGATCTGAACACTTAAAAATGAATTTCAGCTATACAGTAACAAAATGCTATTCAATATCATAATCAATATAACCCTGCCTTAATAACATGCTGCTTTTAATCCAATATACAGACATAGTTATATTCTAGTTATTTATTATGTGGCAATTTCTGTACTTTCATTTTATTACATTACATGAATAATAACTGCTACAGTATTCATGTTAGGAGCATCTACTTTTGAATATCAGCTTCTTGGTATCTCTTCCTTTACAATTAAAATAAATTTTTAAAATCCTTGTGGTATAGCAAGGTATTTTCTAACCCATTCTAGATGTTTCTAAGCATGTAAAAATAAAATTTTATACTATTTATTGATACATGCATGACAATAATTACACACATATATTTTGATTCATGCTCCAAAAATTAAGGTTAATACAGCAGTGGTAATTATACGTGTCCAATCACTATATGGTCAGCTTAGAAAATGACAACTGAAGCATGCTAAATATTGGCATTTTTGAAAAATAAATGAATGAACCACCCTAATCTGTGGAAAATCTTAAATACATTCATAGCATTCATAGTTCCTTTCCTTTTAAAGGATAACAAAATCCTGGAAAAATTTTCATATTTAGGCTCCCATGACCTAAAAATTGGATGTTGCAATATGAAACCTATGGATCGTTCATTATCTTTTAATAAAAGACCATGAATGAATTTTCCATTTAATCATCCAAATTTTTCCAAACCTTTGACAACTCATTAATTAAATGACCTAAATTGCTATATAATTTTTAGAGATTTTAGAGATTTCTAAAAGGAAAGCAAAAACTGTTTATCACTTTTCCAGAATACACTATTTGTTCAATACCCCATGACAGTGGGATAGGACAACAATGGGAAGCTAAGAGATTAGAAAATCAAAATAAGGAAGTAAGTCAGAGGTCAGTGGCAATGATGAATAAAGACATTATAAGAAGCCTTTTCTTATTTGTTAGTTTTACTAAAGAGAATCATGAACTGTCTGGAAGCAAAACATGGTATCTTATAACACTTCATTTATATGACAAATTCATGGTTTTTTTTATCTATATAATGTACATTTGTTGCTTCAGGGGAAAATTAAAAGTTTGAATTCATTACTTTGAGTCATAGTGACAGGATTATAGGAACTGTGGGACATTGCTATCCAAAATAGTTAATGGTAATCTGTCAATCAAGAGAATTATTTATTTTTGTACCAGCGATTGAACTCCAGACCTTGATCTTTTGAGGCAAGTGGCTGAGCCACTAAACTAAATCCCCGGCCCCTGAGAACTATTTAATCAAAATTAACATTGCAACAGATCCTTGGGTGATCTATATTCACTTTAGTTAGCCATTTCTTGCTAAGAGAACTAAAAGCAAGAGCCAGGTGTGGTGGTACAAACCTGTAATCTTAGCACTTGGGAGGCTGAGGCAGGAAGATCACTACTAGCTTGAGGCCAAACCTGGGCTACATAGTGAGTTCAAAGCCAAATGGAACTAAAGAATAAGATCTGTCTCAAAAATAAATAAATGAATAAATAAAAGAAAAAGGGAATTAATCTTCACTCTATGTAAATTAACAAGAGTTCCAAGAAAGAACAGAGAGTGGGAAAGAGAAACAAAATAACAATGAGAAGAGGCTTACACATTTCAACTTGCTTAAATCTTCTCAGTGTACAAAATGAAAACTAGACCAAAAGGGAAGAGTACTACCGTTTATCTAACTTTGATTACACTTTTGAAACAAGAATTTGTTAATCATAAAACTTTTCACTCATGACTACCTCTAATAAATATCCATGGAGGAACTTATTATGTGAAATAATTGCTGAAACAACATCTTAGAGAAAGAACAGAATAAAAAGAAATGCTTTACAGCTAAAAGAATTGATTACAGGAAGCATAGTCCAAGGAAAAAATACAGGAAGAGCAAATGGAGAATGTTGCTTTTTTATGTTGCCAGGGATTGAACCCAGGGCCTTTGCATGGAGCTACATCCCGAGAGCTGCTATATTATTATTATTATTAATTATTATTATCCAGGGATTGAACCCAGGGCCTTTGCATGGAGCTACATCCCGAGAGCTGCTATATTATTATTATTATTATTATTATTATTATTATTATTATTAATCATTAGACAAGGTCTTTCTACATTGACCAGGCAGCATTCAAACTTGTGATTCTCCTCTCTCAGCATCCCAAAGTGCTGGGCCTGTGCCTAGTGAAGATTCTTTGTGTAGTTTTACAGAACTGATGTATTTGGCAAAGATATGGCCTAGGAAATAGAAAACCCTTTGACATCTATATTCTAATTTTTGTGTTTTAGATTGACAGGTCTTTCCTGTCCCAAATGTCTCTCTGAAACCTCACTACTGCATTATCTTCTCATAGGATATCCTGAAATCCTAGGTATAGCAATTATGAAGGGATAGTTTAGTATTTGTCTGCATATCCATTTAAGTTCCACAAAGGCAAAGACTAGATTTCTGTTTTTGGCCCTTTAGCCTTCAGTAAATACTGTTCAATCACAGTGGACAAAATAATAGTGGTGAGTAAGTGAATAAAATAATGCCTATTAATTTGAATATTTATTTTTCTGGGCATTTAGCTATATCAAGAAGCTAAATGAAAGTTATTAAATACATTTGACTTTCATGACTTAGATACATATATATTTTATTAATAAAGCATGTCTAATATTGAACAATTTAATGTATTTTTTTTCCTGTTTTTCAACACATTTGTTAGTTTCTATGTCTCAATGTCAGTTGAAACTACAGAAAACTGGTAGCATTTAACTAAAACTACTTCAGACATATATGAGCCACATTAATATAGTTCATGAGTAAGTAATTATAATTCTTGATAGGAATTCTAGGTGTTCTGCCATGTAAGTTCTTCTGACGCAGCAGTAGTCACAAATAAATTGGCTTCATTTTGAAAGAAGCCGCTAGGTGGTGTAGTGGCCTGGACTGAAAGCAAAATCTAACCCTAATTTCCCAGGTGCTTCCCGTCCTACAGGCTTAATAATGACCACAAAGCCCTTAAATATAGGCTTCAACATTATTTCTCACAGCTCTTTTTAGTGCTTAGGGAGACAATGCACTGAATAATTTTTAAAATATATCCCCTCCCAATATGGCAATAATTCATCAGTAACTTCATCAATTAAGGGATCAAATTCTTCTATAAAAATATCTCCTCCATTAAAATTTGAAATTATTGTATTAATATATGGAAAAAAGTACTATAAAATTAGAAATACCTGCCACAAATTGTTCCAAGGGCCACAACGAAGGATTTCTAATGTATTCAAAGGGGGCATAGTACTGACTGGACATTTTGGGGTTCTCTTTCTTTTAACAATTTTATTTTGTTGATTTTGCATAGAAATTTCAAGCCAAGGTTTAAATGAATTTATCCAAGCTAGTCTCTTTTCCTCGACAGAAGATGAAAGTGCTGACTCTGGTATAGAACAGGTTGTACTACTTTCACATCTAGACCTATTTTCATGACATTCTTCAGGAATTTCTTTAGGATCATAGTTAAGAGAGTTTACTTTAGTAACCAAGGAACTCCTTGCATTATAGCCACCCAAGTCTTCACAAGGAGCAGGTCTACCAATATCCACATCCTGTTTGTTAATTTTGCTTTCTATATTTACGACGGCATCAGTGGAATTAAAAATCTCAATGTCACTATTTAGAGTATTTTCTTTTGAGATTTCTTCAGTTTCTTTGAATTTTACTATTTTTTCTTGTAGTACAGTTTCAGAAATTTCTAATTTTATTGGTAGTAGCTTTTGTTTGTTTGAGATAACTGAAGTCTTGTTACCCTCATTCAATGATCCATTCTTTTCTGACATCTCATTTTCTACATTTTGTACTTTCTGCTGATTATTATTGATTTCTTTCTGTGCTTCATTTTTTACCTCATTAATTCCTTGATTATGATCTAATTTTATTTGAATTTCTTGTCTCACAATTTCACTCATAGCATGTTCCGTATCTTCCTCTTTCTGTGTTTGAGACTTTATTTCTTGTTCATTCACATTTTCTTTTAGATCTGAATTTTCCAATTTAGTTATTTTGTTGATGTTTTCATTTCTTATTTCTTGCTTAACTGATTTTTCAGAACATTGACTATTGTCTAGGCTTTCACTTTTTTCTTCTATTTTTAATTCTGCTAAAACTGTTTGGTTTGATTTTAACTGTATTTGTACTGATTCCTTCAATACAGGCTGTTTATCTATATATTGTCTCTTATTTGATTCCTCAACTATACCAAGGGAAACATCTTCCTGCTTCTTTAAGTTTTCATCCACTAATATTTTCACTGTATCATTCTTATGTTTTGATGTATCTCCAAGAGTGAAATGTTTGGCATTATATTCTCCCTTCTTTAATGCACTACTCATTATTAGCTGTGGTCTTGTATGTTCTCTTAATTTTAACTTTTCCTTATTTAGTAGTTCCTCTCTTTCTTGTCTCAAGATACTCTTTTTTTCTTCATATTCTCTTTCTCTCCTTTTCCTTTCCTCTTCCTTTTTCTTTTTTATCTCCTCTGCTATCTTTTGTTCTTCCTCTAATCTTTTTTGTTTTTCTTCTACCTTCTGTCGTATTTTTGCTTCTTTTTCTTTCCATTTTTGTGCCTTCCTTTTCTTAGTTTCTATTCGTTCTCTTATGATTGGGGCATATTTTTGGTAGGTTACAAATGCCTTGTATTTAGCTTGAATTTTTATAGCTGCATTATGACGAAGATTTAGCAAACGTATTTCTTCTTTTTCCTGTAGGTCTTTAAATCTTGTTCTTTCTTCTTCCATTTGTAAATGCAAATTTTTAATGAATTCCTAAAATAAAATAAGTGGTAGTCAGTACAAGCAAAATGTGTAATGTTATTACAATTTCATTTTACAGATTAAAAATATTAAAACTGAAATGATAAAGAAATTACTACAAAATTCACCCAGAAGAACTAGTCACTTATTTTAAAGGGGACCACTTTTAAAAATATTTGTAAGAGTAGATCACAACCACATTGTTAAATTGCAACTCTAATACTATTAGCGGTATACTAAGGCATACACATGTAGATAGATGCTAACAATATTTCAATATTAAAAGCAAATAAAATATCTAAGAAAGCAAGGAATATTTTCTGCTTTATTACCTACTGTATTATAAACATTAAGAGAATACCTGACACATGATAGAAAATTAGTAAATATATGCAGGTGAAAGTATAAAGTAAAACTTAAAGGTTCGAAAGAATGTAAGGCATGCCAAGTTTACAATCAGCAATATACAAAGGAGTCACGTCTTTAAACTGTTGTATATATGCATATATGTAGTAATAAAACTGGATTATATGCCCAAACTAATAATTCCATTTTGAAAGAAAAATAAAACTATTCTCAACTCTTCAAAGATAGAGGAATCCTAAGTATTTAAAAAAATGTTTACATCTATGTTAACATATATTCCAGGAAATGAAAGATGAGTCCCAAAATCAGGGAAAACTCATGATTCACAAACCACTGAGAAGTGAAGAAAACAGAAACACTGAATTTCTGTTCCGCTGTGTTCTCCCTTCGGTCATTTTGCTGCTGTTGTGAGTTCTAAGTCTTACTTTTGATCCTTTTTAGGTAACGTGTCTTCATTCTCTGAATGCTAATTTTTTTCTTCCCTGTATCTTAAATTTCAATAGTTGTACTGTTAAATTCCCAGTAATAATTTTATTTTCATATATCTTACTTGGAGATCATTGATAACCTTTGAATTTGCAGGTCCATTTTTCAAAACAATGTGAACTCTTTTTAAACACAGTCTCCTTATGCACTGCTTTATTTCCATACTCTCCTTCCTCTTATCAAGGTTACTATCTACAAATTTTGTGGGTTTTTTCCATATATATCACATATTTAATTGTGTCCTTTTCTCCTTTTCCTATTTTTTCCTCTCTGTACATGTATTTGGATATTTCCTATTGAACACTGTTTTGTTACTCTACTGTTCACATTTTCTATTTCCAATGTACTGCCAAACTGAAGTAGAACTAAAGAACAAATTTTATCCATTAATTTTTAATATTTATACTGAATTTTTAAACTTTAAAACATATACATATTTCATTATAGGTTTTAATTCTTTTTCCATATCACCCATTTGCTTGCTTATTCTATTACTGGAATCATAGTTAGAGGTCTTTTAATGGTTCTACAAAATCTAGCATTTGGATTCTATTTGGATTACACACAAATGGATTATTATTCTCTTTTTCTTTCTTGTCACTTATATAAAAGTGTCTCTTACCTTCCCTAACACATTTTTAAGTTTAAATGCATAAAAAAGACTAAGACTATTTCCTAAGAAAACTTTTCTAAAAAACTAAGGAAAGATAATATTATATAGTTGTATAACAGGATTACCAGAGGTTGAATCTACTTTATATTTGTGTTGTTTAAAATAATTTTATATAAAAACTATAGAGTGAAAAACTAAAACTAATATATCATCAGAGCCATTTTAAATTAAAAGAGGTTATTTAACAGAATTGTGTTCAAGAAACACACATAATGGAAAGTACAAAATAGCATCTTTCCTTAAACTTTAAAAGAAATTTTATAATTATAATTTTTAATTAAAATTAAAATTTCATAACTTACTGAACTAATTTTCATTTTTCAGGATAGTCTATTTCAAGGAGAATTTCTGATGATTAATTTTTACTGCTTCAATAAGTTCTCCATCTGTTAGGTTATATTATTTCAAAATGCCTATTGTAAGCATAGTAATTTTATTTTGAATGGAGAAAGACTAATGTATTTAATTAAACACAAATAGATACCTCATGCTGTTTAAATTTCTCTTTCCACATTTCCTCTTCTTTGTGGAGCTCATCATTCATCATTTCTTCTTCTTGCTGAACATAACATAATTAAAATATCGTAAATATATGAAATTATACTAAAATATCAAAGAATATTGTACATGTTATATATAATTTTCACAAAATGTATTTGTAAACAAGAATTAAATGCAACAATCCACCCAATAGTCTTTTGTTATTACTTTCAGGACTAAAACTTTAAACACAAATCTGGTATCAAACTGAAGTGCCACAGAGGAGCTCATTTGCACAGGCACCAATACAATGGTGATTGTGACCATCCCACCCTGCGAACAAGAGAAAGAAGGCCTCTCTGAGGCTCCTAGATGAAAACTGAAGCCCCCTGGAAAAGTTAAGAAAATCTGCCATACAGACACACCACCCAACCATAGCTGGTAAGTCAGGGGGACCAGCACCTCACATCGGAACCAGGTCTAACTTCAGGGGAAAGACAGCTGGACCTGCAGTAGAACCTTGCAGAGGTCAACCCAGCAGGAGGACAGAGATCTCAAAATGGGCCTTTCAGCCAAAAATCAGCCTGAACTGAGACTTCTAAGCTTAGACCTGCACACTCCTGCCCACGCTACCTATTGTGTCAACAGAAGCATACCTTGAAGGAGGCCCTCTATTTCTATTTGAGTTTTTTTTTTATTTTCAAAGTAATATTTTTCACTTGTCTTTAATCATTTAAAAATATTTTATCTATCTTTTTCTTTTTCAATTTTGTTTTCCTTTTTTAATCTTTTTCTTGTCTTCTTTTCCCTCTCCCCACCTCTCTCTCTCTCCTAGATCTCACTCTACATCTTTTGTTCTTGTTTCTATCCCAATTCAAATTTATTTTGTTTCTTTTCCCTTCTCTTTTTCCTTCTCTCAATTGCCATTAGCTTTAAGAGAAAGTGACTATAGTCTCCAGCCTCCTTATTGCTGTTAGTTTGTTCTGTTCTTGAGAGTATTTTTTTTCTGTCTTCTCTTCTCTTCAATAGCTCCCTAGAGTTTCTGTGATCTTCCTGTGACCTCTGACCTCATTTCTAATCTTTCTCTATCCTATCTATTTATTCCACCCTTCCCAACTCCTTCTAAATTCCCATCCTTAAGAGTAAAGTTGCTATATTGAAGACTTTATTCACTATAAACATATTTTGGGATTGTCCTCGATTTTGATTTCATTCACATGGTTAAAGATGATAGATTAATAACTACCACAAACTGTCATTTTCTAAGCTGTGCTTGATGCTATTGTACTGCTGATTGTATCACTTGGACTAAGGCGTTGTAATTGATCTAATTAGTTGTCCTCCCTGGTATAATGAAAATGAGTTTGACTCAGAGACATTAGAGACTCAAAACCTAAAGACTAGCTATCTATATCTGGAAGATCGAAGTATTAACTCAGGAATTAAACCAAGGACATTACTAAAGACAAAAATAGAAATGAGAAGGCATTTAAACAAGACATAACAGGCTTCCACCCAACCAAATGTAAGCTCTAGGGGAAGTGAGGTGGAAAAGTCTGACAGTCAACCATGTGGACACCCTGAACCAATAACACAGGAAGTAAAAACAACAACAACAATAAAACAGATAAATGAGTCTCTAGAAAAATTCAAAACAGAAGCAATTTCTCAGATAATCATAGAGATGGTAAGAAGAAAGAAAGACATGATTAGAGACTCTAGAACAGAAACGGATAAAAAAATAGATGAGCTCATGACCATGACGGTCACCATCAATGCCCAACATTGGAAAGAAATGGAATCCATGAAACAGATTCAAACAGACATCCAGGACATTAAAAACGCTAAAGAAAACATTTGCAGCAGGATGAACTGATGTGAAGATAGAATTTCAGATATAGAAGATAGGATTGTGGTCAGTGACCAAGAAAAAAGAAATCTCTTAAAAACAGTAAGGGGCCATAAAAAATCAATCCAACAACTCTTAGATGATGCAAAGAAGAATAATGTAAGACTGAAAGGAATCCATGAAGTAGCAAGAAAAAGTACAAATGACATTAAAAAACTGTTCACAGAATTAATGACAGAATATTTCCCAAATAGAACAAAAGAATTTGACATAAGGATAAGTGAGACATGTAGGACTCCAAATAGCCATGATTAAAAAAAAAAAACTACACCTAGACATATAATAATCAAGATCCCAGAAATGCAATAGAAGAACAAAATGCTACAAGCAGTTAGAGAAAAGAAACAAAGGAAATCTCATGAGAATCAAAGCAGACTTTTTAACACAAACCCTCAAGTCAAGGAGAGCCTGAGTGAGGTATTCCAAGTCCTAAAAGAAAACAACCTCCAACCTAGACTGATGTATCCTACAGAAGTATCTTTCAAAATTGATGGGGAAATAAGATACTTCCATGACAAAGAACACATGAGAAATTTCATGAACTCAAACCAGCACTCCACTTCTAAACAATATCCTGGAAAAAGAAAATTAAGACCATAACTCCATAAGGACCAACAGAGCAAATATACAAGGCAAGGCAAGAAATTAAAGAGAGAGAAGGAAAAATAAAAAAATAAAAGAAGCAACATCATGAAAATAACATGACAATGAAAAGTCAACATGTAACAGTTACAACCATTAATGTTAATGGCCTCAATTCACCAATCAAATGAAACAGACTGGCAGAATAGATTAAAAAGCAAAATCCAACAGTATGCTATATACAAGAAACCCACTTAATCCACACAGAAATTCATAGACTGAGAGTAAAAGGATGGAAAATCATTCTCCATGTGACAGGAGTCTCGAAAAAAGTGTGGGTAGCTATCTTATTTGCAGACAGAATAGATTTCAAACCAAATCTAATTAAGTGAGAGAAGAAGGCCACTACATCCTTATAAAGGGAACAATACAAGAGGAAGAAATGACAACCATAAATATATATGCACCAAATATTAATGCCCCCAACTATACCAAAGAAATATTAATGGATATGAAAAAGGAAATGAGCACTAACACAATTGTAGTGGGGGACCTCAATACTTCACTGACACAAATAGACAGATCAACTAGGCCAAAAATCAACAACAAAATAAGAGAACTGAACCAAGTCTTAGAACAAACAGACTTAATACATGTCTATGGAGTGTTCTGCCCCACAAAATCGGAATATATATTATTTTCAGCTACACACGGGTCATTCTCCAAAATAGTCCACACACTACCTTATAGAACATGCTTAAGTGAATTCAAAGGAATTGAAGTTATCCCCTGTATATCATCAGATGATACTGCAATTAAATTGGAGATCAATATCCTAAGAAATTGCAAGAACTTCACAAACACATGGAAATTAAATAACACCCGGCTGAACGACCACTGGATCACAGAGGATATTAAAGAAGAAATTAGACAGTTTCTACAATTAAATGATAACGCCAATACAACATACAGGAATATATGGGACACAATGAAAGCAGTTCTACAAGAGAAATTCATAGCAACAAATGCCCATACTAGGAAAATACAGTGGGCTCAAATAAACAACCCAGTGCTTAACCTTTAGCTCCTAGAAAAAGAAGAGCAAGACAAACTGAAAGCTCATACAATTACATTCAGTGAAATTGAAAATGTAATTTAAACATTACCAACAAAGAACAGAGCAGGCCCTGATGGCTTCGCTGCTGAATTCTACAAGACATGTAGAGAAAAACTATCGCCACTACTCTTTAAACATTTAAGTGAAATTGAAAGGGAAGCAATACTTTCAAATTCATTCCTGGACGCAAGTGTTACCTTGCTTCCAAAACTAGGGAAAGACACAACCAAAAGACAACTACAGGCCAATCTCCCTAATGAACATAGACACAAAAATTCTCAATAAGATATTGGCAAACAGAATACAGAACATCACCAAGAAGATTATACACCCTGAACAAGTCGGATTTATCCCAGGGATGCAAGGATGGTTCAACATACATAAATCATTAAATATAATATACTATGTCAACAAAATGAAGGAGAAAAACCATACGATCATCTCCATAGATGCAGAAAAAGCATTTGACAAAATTCAACACACATTCATGATAAAAACCTTAAAGAAAATTGGAATAGATAGTCTTTATTTCAAGGTGATAAAGGCTATCTATGAAAAACCAATAGCCAATGTCATTCTAAATGATAAAAAATTAAAAACATTCATGCTAAAATCAGGAACAAAACAAGGATGTCCACTGTCACCACTCCTGTACAATATAGTACTAGAAACATTATCCACAGCAATTAGAAAAGAGAAAGAAATAAAAGAAATATAGGAAAGAAAGAAGTAAACTGTTACTATTTGCTGATAATATAATACTCTAGCATAAAATAAGCAAAACACTCTGCCAAAAGACTGCTGACTTGACTGACAGATTCAGTAGAGTAGCTGGATACAAAGTCAACACTCAAAAATCAGTAGCCTTCTTATACACAAATAACAGACACTAAGAAGTTAGGGAAGCAATTCCTTTTATAATAACAACCAAAAAAATGAAATATCTAGGAATCAATCTAATGAAAGGGACAAAAGACCTCTACACTGAAAATTATAACACTCTGAAACAAGAGAAAGAAGAGGATATAAAAAGATAGAAAGACACCCGCTGCTCCTGGAAGCAATCAACACTGTGAAAATGACCATACTTCCAAAACTGATATACAGATTTGATGCAATCCCAATTGAAATCTCAACAGCATATTTCACATAATTTGAGAAAATAATTCAAAAATTCATTTGGAATCTGAAGAGTCCTAGAATAGCAAAAGCTATTCTAGGCAACAAAGATATGTCAGGGGGTATCAAAATAACCAACTTGAAACTATACTACCAAGCCACTGTGATAAAAACAGCATGGTACTGGCAAACAAAGACAATGATGATTAATGGAATAGATTAAAAGATGCAGAAACAACACCAGATATATTCAGCTACTCATCCTTGACAAAGGAGCCAACCATTCTCAGTGGAGGAAAGATAGCCTCTGTAATAAATGGTATTGGAAAAAAACTGGCTTTCAACTTGCCAAAGACTAAAACTAGATCCCTATCTTTCACCATGTACCAAACTAAAATCCGAGTGGATTAAAGATCTAAATATCAAGACAGAAACACTAACCTTACTGGAAAGTAAGTTAGGTAGAACTCTCGAAGACACTGGCATAAGAGAAGACTTTATGAACAAATCCTCACTCAGCAGCATGAGAACTTGCCCAAAGAATCAACAACTGGGATCTCACTGTATTAAGAAGTTTTTGCAGTGCAAGAGAAATCACCAATAGAGCTGAGAGACAAGCTACAATGTGGGAAAAAAATTTTTACCAGATACTTCTCAGACAAAGGACTACTATCAGACCCCTCAAATACAAAGATCTGATTCAAAAATGGACATCTGGAGTGAACAGACATTTCTCAAAGAAGTAAAAGTAGCAAATAAAAATATGAAAAAAAATGTTCAACATCACTGGTCATTAGAAAGATGCACATGAAAACAACACTGAGATTCCACCTCATCCCAGAAAAAATGGCTGCTATCAAGAAATCAATAACAAATGATGCTGGCAGGGCTGTGGGAAGAAATGAACTCTTCTCCACTGTCAGTGGAAGTGCAGGCTGGTGCAACTACTGTTGAAATTAATATGGAGATACCTCAAAGAACCAGGACTAGAGGTTCTATTTGACCCAGCCATCCCTCTGCTGAGTATCTTTCCAAAAGAATTAAAAGAATCATATCACAATGACATATGCTCACAATATTATCAGCCAAAACAGTTCCTAATAGCTAAAACTTGGAAACAACCCAACTTCTTCTTCAAGGTGAGGCAATGAGGGGCTGGAGAGAACTGTTTAGTTTTGGTTTTAGAACAACTACTTACCAAATCTGCTGTTTTTCACATGAGGGAATTGCCTCTCCTAGAAAATGTGACATTGTTACAGGCAAACCCCCCAATGCTTTCTTAAAAGAGGAGTTGTGATGTCTCTCCTTCTGTTTGAGTTGCTAAGATTCACAGGGTATCTGCAGAGGAGGTGGGAGCAAAAGCATGGGAACTGCTGGGCTTTAGTACACTGGGAAGCGCAGGTGGGCTCAGACTAAAATAAAAAAAAAAATCAAACCTTACACTCAGACTGTAAAAAAACATAATTAGAAAATAAGTAAATGGGATGAAAATAGCTAGGAAAGCTCTAAAAAGCAGAAAACAAAACAGAGAGAAATGCTCCTGGCTTCAGGAGCCCCAAGTCCTGATCTGTGCTATTGGTCTGATGGTGCCTGCAAAAGCCTGGAATCCAAAGCAAAGCCAAAGAAACTTCAACTGTGCTCTACCTGACATAAAGTGATTTTACAAGAGGAATCAAATTACAAATTTTAGCTAGTTGATAAATTATCTTTGTTCCAATTTGAACTGATGTTTAATTGGTGTGCTTAAAACATTTGTTGTGCATTGCAAATTCTTGAATTGTAATTAGAGGGTTAACTTGCTCTTTTCTGTATTTGGTTTGTTGATGAAGAACTCAACGTTATTGTTGTAGTATTGGCAGCCAATCAAAAATTTAAAATGTAACACTATGAGAACAGAAATAAAAAAGGAAACTTTAAAATTTTAACAGCTGAAGACAAGTTTGTTCTAGAAGGTTTATAGTGAGACAGAGGAAAAATATTAAGAAGGGTGTAAGTAAAAGAGATATACTTTTCTAAAGAGATATACTTTTGATATGAAAGGATTTTGTATGTTTAACTTGTTAGAAGAATAAAGAGAAATACATAACAAGAGTAGAATTGGCCTAGGTATTTTGAGGAGGTGTGCAGAAGTGACTTATCAGGAAAATACATATGTCTGCTTGTTGGTTTCAAGTCTGTTATAAAAGATTTCTTTTTATAAGTTATTAAATATGCTTTGTCAGAGTAATTACTGGAGACCCTTCAATTTGGGTAGGCTGCTAAATGAGACCCCCTTGGTGAACAAAAGAACAGCCACATGGAAATATTTTCATCATTGCTCACTAGGGGACCTAAACAGTTTCCATAGTCTTTTACAATGAATATTACTGAAATGTTATTATAAGATGTTTACATTGGTTATTATCAAAGGGTTAGGTTCTAAATATGTTATTGTGATATGTTTACATTGGTCATTTTCAAAAGATTAAACTTTTTAGGAGAAAAACAAGGTTTTATTAAAAAGATGCATTAAATTGCAAGCGCAAGGACCCGAGTTCAATCCCTGGTACTAAAAAAAAAAAAAAAAATGTCAGAAGGTTCCATATAATTGTGATGATTACTATTTTTAATTTTCTAGTGCACTGAATTCATTCATGCTTTTTGACTGTACAATTTTCTAAATATCATTTATTGTAATGACTTCCTTTTGATTCAGGTATTTGCCTTTCTCTTACACTCCAGCTATGATAACCAGCAAGACCTGGGTAATATATAAATCTACTTTAGTAATCCAGCACAAGATTTAGTCCTATCGGTTCTCTAGGCCTCCTAAGATCTTGATGACCTACAAGTAGGATCCTAATAACCACTAATTTCTCAATAGCCTACTAATATGATCTGACTGACACAAAAAGCAGACACAAGCAAATACAAAACTCCTTGTGGTCCAATAAATTTGGTTCAACAAGAGCAAGACACAGAATATCATCCTAATTGGTTGACTACTTCAATCAGATATGTTTCATTTAAAATGTGTCATATGCTAGATCACAGAGCAAAGACATTAAGTTATCAAGCAAACTCTGTCACTCTTTCATATGGTTAGATGGGTATAATAAAAACAAAATTTATGTGATCCTTAATCTTCTCAGATCCTTAATTTCTAGGATGATGCTTAAAACTTAAATACTTTTTGGGTTCCCAAGATCCAAAGCAGTATCTGACATTCCAATTAATTTAATGAAAAGAAATCAGGGGTCCATATTACATACTGCTAATTTACAGTTTCTTTGCTTGCATTACCAGAAGTAATTAAAACATCAAGAGGGGCCGGGGTTTTAGCTCAGCGGTTCAGTGGCCTGCCTTGTAAGCACAAGGACCTGAGTTCAATCCCCGGTACCAAAAAAAAAAATCATAGAATAAAGCTCAATGTTCATCCTAATTCAAAAATAAATACACATCTGAGGTAGCTACAACAATTTAAAAAATGTATGAAAAGCAAGGGCTGGGGATTTACCTCAGTGGTTCTGCTACCTGCCTCACAAGCTCAAGGTCCAGAGTTTGATCCCTGGTACCAAAAAAAAAAAAAAATTAAAAAAAAAGTAATAAAAAATGTATGAAGAGCAAAACAAATATCTTACTTTTTGAAGATTCTCTATCTTTTGCTTTTCAATTACAAATTGTTTCATCCAGCAATCTCTCTTTTCTTCTTCTTCTTGAAACTGCTTTTCTTCTCTATCCCTCTGTGCTTTGAGAGTTTCTTTGTCTTTGTCTTCTAGCTCTTTCTGCCTGTCTTGCCAAGCTTCAAAAGACTGCCTACATTTTTCTTCCACTTCAAAATATCCAAAGTTTATATCCATGTCATCTACGTTTATGAAGAGAAAGGACAGTATTATTTTAAAGATCGAATCTATCAGAACTGATATGATTTAAAATATAAAAGTAATTTCAAAGGGAGTAAATAAGGTCAACGTACTTCCAAAGTAACACTGATTCAGCTGGAAATTTCATTCAGCGGTAGAGCACTTACCTGCTATGCACAAGCCCTAATTTATCTCCACAACACTGCAAAACATCAAGCCAAAACAAACACACAAAAACAACTGCAAAAAATGAAAACCAGACCAAATGAAAACAAAGTAAAAAAGCAAAGTATAAGTGATAATAGACAAAAAGAAAACATATACTTGAATATACATAAAAATTCTATCTCAGTCAATAAAGGATTAAAATAATTTGTCTTAAACTATTACTGAAAACTTCAAATAAAAGAATAGTGTGTATGTATGCATCTTTTCTTAAGGGAAGTTTAAGTGATGTGGGTAAGAGATACTTAAAAATTCAGGGTTAGTTATACAGTACCAATTTCAGCCAGCACTACATGGGGAAAAGTGTTAAAAACACTTAAATTAATTTAGAAGGCATAAAGCAAACTATGTGAGCATGAAATTTAATAGCAAAAGCATAATTATCAAATATTGTAATGTATTTTATAAATGTCAAAAAGATAGAAAAATGGGAAAAGGTTTTTCCAGATGATTATATAGCTATGATTAGCTATATAAAAATGGTAACAATATCAATGAGAAAATTAGTCCACCTGATAAAACATATTCATCAATGGGAAAATCCTGAAGATCAGGCTCAGGAGGAGAACCAGGACTGGCACAGTGGGTTTCACTTCTCATAAAATCTTCTTTCTCCATTCCTGATAATATCTAAGGGGTTAAAATAATAGTAATGAATCAAAATATAATATTTTTATAGAGTAAATATATACTTACACTGAGAATTTTGCTTATTTGAAATTTCTCTCAATACAAACCTACAGTGTATTGATAATTATTTTCTTGAAATAAGTTTTCTCCATGCAAGTAGACTATATTTTACCACATTACTATTTTTCCAAAATTTAATCAGTATTTAAGGTTAACCTGTAATATTTAGTAAATCTCCTTGGTAATCATTTCAGAATGTTTCTACTAAAGATAATATCTTTCCTAATGCTTTCTACTAAAGATAATATCTTTCCTAATTTCTCTTTCTTACCTGTAGTAATTACTCATGACTCATGTATTAAAACTACTGGTATATTTAACAAGATAATTAAACATTTTCCATAATTTTATTTTCATGCTACTCTATTTGGAAAGTAAATGAGATATTTACTTCAATGAAGTAGTGGTCTGATAATTCAAAATTAGTATTTCAAATTGGAATGTTACCAAAAAAGAGTCAAGGGAAACAAATGTAATTTCCAAATTATGTCAAACATCTGACAGAAGAACAATAAAGTTAGATAAAATTGGTAAAATGGGAGGCAAAAATACACCCAAGAAGTGAATTTGTGAAGGAAATTCACATACATTTGTGGAGTTTCAATATAATAAAATATCTAGGCTCTTACTCAGTTTTACACTGAAAAAATTTTTTCTTTTATCTGTTTTTTAAAAAGTAGTATAAAGTTTTCTAGATTTGTACTTTCAATAAAGCATTTAAAGCCTAACATGGAGCATGGTACATTCCGAGGACGGGTAAGAAACACTAGAGTATATTCATTACTTTCCACAGAAATTTTAAGAAAAAATATCAGGGAATATAGTTCCACTGCTTTATCTATATGAACATTAAATTACCAAATATTAATAGCTCAAATAACTATTTTAATTTTCTTAAAGATTGAAATTTGTGGGGCCATATACCATAGGAAATTGTAAAACCAAAATCGATATGCTTAAAATAAAACATTCTTTTATCTTTAAATTGGCAAACATAAAAACAGTGAATTTTCATTCTATAAAGAAGGAAAAATAAATTACTAACTGCAATAGTGAGAACTTTCAGTCAAAGGTTGAACCTATACCTTCAATAACTGCTCTGGATTTTCTTTACATTCAGTTAATAATCCTATCCTCAGGTGCATATGATTATTAGAAACTGCTTCATAACTATGGCCTAGAAAAAAAATGAAAAAATATTGTAATATCAAATAGTAAAATGCACTACATCAAAATCTTAATTCTTTGAAATATTTTCACCTCAATTTCTATCAGAGTATTCTACTGGTGAATAGCAGTAATAAAACAGCAAAATAATGAAGAACAATAAATACAAGAAATTTGTTATCTTCCTTCTAGAAAACAAAAGCAACAGGTTTCTAAAGCACTCTATTTTTTTAAGTAGTTTTGACTGAGATTTATTTTCCCTGCATACAGAATCATGCTTTGCTTGACACTGCACTGACTTCTTGATGTGAATCAACAAAAGTTTAATTCTACCCACAAACTAACAATATAATCTTTCACAACTTAATGAAAACAGTTTAATATAGATAGTTATTAAAAATATTATAACTACTATAATGAACAAGGTGGACTTTTATTCTTTATAGTATGAGATTATTTGAATCATATTGTCTTTTTATTATCTGCTCAGATATAGTTAGATTTATTTTCCTTTATTCAGTGAATGTGTTGCTCATGGTATTGCTTCCTAATAGTAAACTTCCTTTACACAGGACAATTCTGCTGGTTAATTAAACTTTCCTACCTACTTTGTTAGTATCATGTATTCCCTCCAATACCTACTTAAAATCTTTCTGATATGCTTTCCTATGTGAGGCTTAAAAGAAAACAATATTATCTAGATTCCCTTGCAGCTCGACTTCTGAGTGGGATTCAGGTTCTGGATATACATATACATATATATTTGCATATATATTTGCATGTATGTGTATGTGTGTGTATACATACACACACACATTTACATTAGACTTTTTTTCCCCAAAAAATGTATAAGAAAAAGCAGATGATGATATTTTTCATCTTTTTAGCCCAGATTGTGATCCAGGAAGTTTTGAGTTGAAGATAACATTATGTAGGAGAAAATTCGTATCTCTGAATGCCGCAGCTCAATTTTGCAATTGACATGTTTCCCCCACACTCACACCTTGAATAGTCAGGCTTGAGTCTGTATCTTCAAACTATTAACAATTGCTGTATTGAAATGGCTAATCTCCAAAAATGGATCTCCTGGTATACATAACCTATATAGTTTCTTTCTACACAGAACTAAACTGAACCTGTGTAATTTTCAGGATATGGCAGATAAGATGCTGTGTTGCTGTCATAAGTCATACAAGATTCCACTTTAGTCTCTTGGTATTTTGTGTTGGAACCTTTTATCTTTGATTCCAAGTGCTATGCTCTGATAAGTAAGTACAAGCCAAAAGAAAAGGCCACATGTAGATGCCTGTAGTTCGCAACAGAATCTGAACTCCTCAGAAACACAATAAGGAACCTCAACCCAAGCCATTTCAGTGAGCTATTTTGGAATTCCAATCTAGTTAAGACTTCAGATGACTACACACTTAACTGACATCCCACTAAAAATGCATAAAAATTCCAGGGAAGAACTGCTCAGCTCAGCACAGTGAACTCATGGAACTTTAGATACAACAAGAAATTGCTGTTCTTGTCCACTAATTTTGTTTTACATCAGTAAATAACCACACATTTTCTCTACCCATAAAAACAAACAAAATATGCTGCTTATGGTTGGTACAGTGACTCTTTTGACTACGACTGAGAATCACAATTAAAATGCACTTATTTAGAAATGAAATTAGCTTCTAACTACTTCTGTGTGCATATTACACTTGCACAGCTTGTACTTAAAGCATATAGCTTTTTAAAAACTTAATCATTACATAATCTGTGAAATTGTTTCTTGATAGATTATAAGAATCCAGTTGCCAAATTTTCCTAGTTTAATGCCTTGCCATCCTGAATTGCACAATAAGACCCATGTCAAAAAAAAAAAAAATCACAGGCATTATTAAACTTGACTAACTAGAGCTGCATATGAAAACTTCTGTATCACTGCTGTAAATGCTGTTATATCTCTTTTCATGTACCTATTTTACCACAATGTTTTTCTTTTAGTTTTGTACATAACTGAGCTAGAGGGGCCAGGGAGTTAGCTCAGTGGTTCTGCTGCCTGCCTCGCAAGCACAAGGTCCTGAGTTTGATCTCCGGTACCAAAAAAAAAAAAAAAAAACCTTTAGAAAAAAAAAACAACAACTTTCTCATAACTGAGCTAGAATTAGGCTGCATAACTGCCAATGAATCTATAATACAATTTCATTATAAGTCCTTCATAAAAATTCACAAACCATTAAAATCATTCATACTTCAACTACACATTATTATTGTCAACATTCTATGCATATGTAATAAATGTTTACACATCCTTTCACACGGGTACTCAGACAAAAATATTGGTGCTGTTCTCTTCCTTTCTTTTTGGTACCAGGGACTGAATTCAGGTCCTTGAGCTTGGTAGGCAGGAGCCAGAACCACTGAGCTAAATCCCCAGCCTCTTTCTTTTTAACAATTCATTGATAAACCTTTTTAGACTGGAAATTGTTTCTAGAATCTAACCCTTTTCCTTGAATTTACTCAAACCACTCTGATCTTTAACTGTACTATTGCAATAGTCTTGTAGTGATCCAGTTATATCGAGGTGTTTTCTCTGCATAGTACACAAATTGACTATCTCAAAATATGGCAAATATCACCACTGCTTGCTCAAAATTCTTCACGTACTGAAAATAGCATTCAAAATCCATAGTGGAGTTTGTAAGAGCCCTGTACCCTCTGATACCTTGCTTTCTCTGAAGCATTTGCGGTTCTTCAAACATACTAAGGCTACCAATATGCCTCGATCTTTACTGTTCCTCTTTCTGGAACACTGGATTTCAAGGTATTTACATGGTTCACCAGGCCCAAATATATCCATACCAAATATCACCTTCTCCCTGTCTATCCTATTTAAAATTGGAACTTCTAGTCTCTGTCTCCTTGCCTTGAGTTTTCTGGTTCACAGCAATAATCACTATCAAAATATTACATATTTATCTATGTATTACCTGTCTTGCCACACTGGAGCATTACAACAGTAGAGAAAGGCCTTTGTTTTGTTCACTATTTTATGCTTAGTGGCTAGAAAGGACACTATCACACAGTAATATCTGTTGAATATCTATCAATGCCCATATTAAAATGTATAATATTTGCATAAATTGTTGTATTTTAAAACAGCTTTAGTAATATATCATTCAGAGGTTTATGTCATTAACTATTTCTTTAAGTCACCTTTTTAATGGATATATTATTAGACAAAATAAAGTCCTGTTAAACATTTAGGTTGTTCTCACTTTTCCTCACTTAGGCTTCTCATTACTGTAAAGTAATAGTGTCTGGAAACAATTAAAACTAGGAGCTCGGCGTGTTGGCCCACTTGTGCAACCTCATTTACTGGGATTGTAGGAAGAAGAGGCTGAGGTAGAAAAATCCTAAGTTTGAAACTAGCTTGGGTAATTTATCAAGACACTGTCTCAAAATGAAAACTTTTAAAAAGGGTTAGGGATGTCTTTCAGTAGTAGACTGCTTGTCTAGCATGCAAAAGGCTTTGTATTCCATCTCTAGCACTGAAAAAAAAAAAAACAAATAAACAACAACAACAAAACAAAACCAGGAAGAAAGAAAGACTGAGAAAACAAAGTTATTATTTGTTGGCGATATAAGGAAGATAGGTAAGGGGAAAAAATGAATGAAGTAAATCCAACAGTCCAAAATACTACAGATAGGGTGTTAGAGATAAATTCATACATATATGCATAGCAAGAGATAAGACATTTAGTTTCCTAAATTATATTAACACTTACTGGAAGAAATCTTATCTCGCAAGCAAATGAAAATCCTACTCACTTAAGACATCAGTATCTTCTAAATCCTGAAGAATGAGCTCTTCAACGGCTTTACTTGTGTTCTTTATGGTATTAATACAGTGAATAACTGACTCTGGTAATTCATCTTCACTCTAAATTTTGAATAAAAAAGAAACCATGAAAGGGATTAGTATCAAAATGATGTGTTAAATATAGCAGTTTACGCCACAAGAAAAATTTGAGTAAAGTGTAAATGAGGTAAAATGGCCCTGTTATCAAGAGTTTAATTCAGAAAAATACATTTTGTTAAAATTTGCTTTTTAATTATGCATTTCTAGAAAAATATAAGGAAACAAATGAGTTACCTGTACATAATTTTTATTACCCTCATTACAGGCTGTATATTTTTTACATAAGTTAAATATTTGTAATATTTTAATATTAGTTCCAACTTCAAATAAATGTTACCAACTATTAATCAAAACTCCAGAGATTTTTTCCAAAATAGTTAATACCTAGTACCATATATAATTATTTAATATATTCTAAAACTACTTTGTGGTTATCAAACACAAAGTTAGTGAAAATGAAAATCAGCAATTACAAGGAAAATAATGCAATTGCAAGAATAAGTTCATACATTTCAGTAAAAACTCTCAATGACAATGGTCTCAAGTCCCCAATCAACAGGCACAGGTTGGCAAAATAGATTAACAAACAAATCTGATGATATGCTGAGTACAAGAGATATACTTATTCCAAAACAAACTTAAAATTCAAAGGGTAGAAAACAATATTTCATGCAACATGAATCTCAAAACAAGGAGTAGCTACCCTATTTTTAGAAAAAGTGGACTTCAGGCCAAAACTAATCAGAAGAGGCAAAGAAGGCCACTACATGTTGGTTAAGTAAGCAATTTAAAAGGAAAAGATAACAATTATAAATACATATGCACCAAACACTAGCACACCCACTTTGATAAAAAAAAAGTTATTGGGCATAAAAGATCAGATAAATGCCAACAGAATTATGGCAGTAGACCTCAAGACCGCACTGTCACAAATAGATAAACTAGACAAAAAAATCAACATAGAAATACCACAGTCAAAACAAACCTTCAAACAAACATATTTAAATAAATATTTACAGTTTTCTACTCAGCAACAACAGAATATACATTCTTCTCAACAGCACATGGGACTTTCTCCAAAGCAGACCACATATTAACCTATAAAGCACACTTAAGTAGATATTTAAAAAATCAAAATTACACAGGGCATATTATCAGATTTTAGGGCAATGAAATCTACAAGCAAAGAAACAAGAGAAATAATGCAAACAAGTGGAAATTAGACAGTACCCTCTTGAATAATCAACAGTCACAGAAGAAATCAAGAAGGAAATTAGGCAGTTACTAGAATCAAAGGACAATCCCAGTAAAACACACCAGAACTTATGGGACACAATGAAAGTTCTCCTAAGAAAGAAACTTAAAGCTATGAATACTCAAAACAACAACAACAAAAAACCCAGAATAATCCCAAATAAATAAAGGAATTATGCACCTCAAGGACTAGAAATTCACAAGCAATCCAAATATAAAGGTAGTACACAGAAAGAAATTATTAAAAGATCAGAGCAGAAATCAATACAATTGAGATTAAGAAAGAAAAAAGAATACCGAGTGAATAAAATGAAGTGCTGGTTCTTTAAATGAATAAGCAAAACAGACAAATACTTAGCTAATCATACTAGAAAAAGGGAAGAAAAGACCCAAATGAATGCAATTAGAAATCATAAGGGTGAAATAACAATGAACAACTCCAATATCCACAAAAGTATTAATAGCTACTTTGACAAGCTTTACTCCAATAAATTGGAAAATCCCAAAGTGGATAGACTCCCACACAAATATGAATTGCCAAAACTGAACCAAGAAGATATAATACTCCAAATAATCCACTATTGAGCAATAAAACTGAAGCAATACTTAAAAACAAACAAACAAACAAACAAACAAACAAAAAACTACCACGAAAAGCCCGGGATCTGATGGACTTACCACTGATAAGAATGTTAGGGAAGACCTAACACCAATGCTTTTAAAAGTAATGAAACTGAAAGAGAAGGTATACTACTAAAGTCATTCCTGGAAGCTAGCAATGCCATAATTCCAAAGTGAGAAAAGGATCCAAGTAAATAAGAGAACTAAAGACCAATCTCTTTCATAAATATAGACACAAAAATCCTCAATGAGATACTGACAACAAATCATAAAAAACAATCATACATCAAAACAATGTAGGCTTCACCTCAGGGATGTAGGGATGGTTCAACATATACAAATCAGTAAATGTAATACATCACATAACCAGAAGAGAAGACAAAAATCATATGATCATTTCAACTGATACAGAAAAAGCCTGTGAGAAAATCCAACATTCATTCATAATAAAAACCATGAAGAAAATAGGAATAAAAGGACAATATCTCAATCTGTATCCCCATGATTATAGCTGCAAAATTCTTAACAACTAAATGGAAGTAGCTGTATGTCCATAAACAAATAGAGAGGTAAAGATGTGATATTTATACAAAAGACAGTACTATTCGAATATAAAAGAGGATAGTCACATACACATGTACCAGCTGCCCATGAGATATGGAATATGTAACAACTGAAAAATGAAATAAATAAAAATGAAAGATAAATAAAAGACAAATTTACATTACGAAGACTGCTAGCATGTACAGATCTTTTATGTCCTATGAAATATAATAGGTAAAATCTGAATCTTTCAACATCAGTTGCATCTTTCCTTAGTAATATTTATCCAGAATTATATAAATAATAGTAAGGTTATCTGAAGAACTTTAGATTTTTAGTCCTCCGCCTTTATGTATAAAAATATAATAAAATCTATTATTTTCATGCCTATCATATTCAAATGAAAAATTTTAATATTCTTTATCTCATTTAAATTAACTAGATAAAAAGACAAAATGTAAAAAATAAAATTGTCTCAAAGTCATAGGTAAGTTTAGTGTAATCCTAATGAAAAATCTAAGTCTAATTATTTTTTAAAACCTTACACTGTGAGTTATTTTGTTTTATAAGATGCTTAGTTAACAAAACTTCAAAATGGTAAAAGAATACAAAGCATTTGACCCATTTGATATTTTAAAATATAAAACTACAGTACAGAGAAATTAATATAATAATGAAAAATAATAGCTTTTAATATGTCATATATACTAGAACTAAACATATGTGAAAGACATATGGCAAACTGATTAAAAAGAAAAGAAACAACAGGAATATTAGCTAAATATGTCAAGATATGTTCAAATTAGATTTATATTTCACAACATTCCTGGAAATAAATTATGATTGGATTATGGATTTTTTGGTAAAAGAATGAATTCATAATGAATGAAGTCTGTAAGCACATAAAAATTGGGGAAAATATACAAGTAACAAGTTAATTTATTTTTTCTTTTCTTTTCTTTTTTTTTTTTGTACTAGGGATTGCACTCGAGACCTTGCACTTGCAAGGCAGGCAGCAGGACCACTGAGCTAAATCCCCAGCCCTATAGCAAGTTAATTTGTTTCCCAAAGGAAGCTATGTCTATAATGGGTATAAATATTTCACACAAATTTTTCTTTTATGTAATCTAATCTCAGTGAAATGCTCATGATGAAGCACAAATGCATGGATATACATTTGTAATTATGAGTAATCTATCTTCAATAAATTTCTTATATTTCAATCCCAATATGCATAATTTATAGTAGTGAGTGATCCTAAGCTAAGAAATGAGTTACATATAGCAAAACAATGAGACCGTTCACCTTTCTCCTGAAAAGCCTGCTTGTGCTAGAAGGTTCAGAAGAGCAACAGTCAACACTTACACTGTCAGTGTCATCACTATGGGTTTCTGACTTTGAATCACTCTCATTCTCTTCTTTTTCCAAGGAGGAAATGCTGATTTTATCCAACTCAGCTTCTATTTCTTCTTCAAGCTTTGCATCTTCATCATCACTGTCTTCCATCATTCTTCTTAATAAAAAAGAACCATTTAAAGAAACAAAGGGTCTAATATGTCTTAGGTCTCTAAATACTATGGGTTCTTTAATTTGTCATACCAATCCAATATATTTTATGGGAATATGTTTTAATTCAAAACTTCTATCTACCGTATTGTCATTGCACCATAAGTTTAACAGCTTTGTTTTACCTCTCCATTCATTCTCTTTTTAAAATGTCTGACAACAATGTGATTAAAGTTATTTAAAGAGGAAAACTGCATGAAATAGATTGGCCTATCTTCCAAACCCCAGAAGCTTCAACGTAACACTTACTCATGGGAAAATTAATAAATATTTTTTGGATGGCTTGAATGTTTAAGACATTAAAATACTCTTATGAGAACAACCACAGCCTACATATACGAGAAATTTGTGGTTTCCTTTGTTCATTACCTCAGAGTTCTGATAATCCTGCTGGGGATAACTACATACTCTCGCTAATTTAACACATGATGACAGCCAATATATGGTACATAATTTAAAATTTTACTTTGTTTAAATTCTCAATTCTTAGTCCAAGCAGTGTGCTGCATCTCCCATCATCATCATCATCATCATCATCATCATTATCATCATCACCATACCACCATTAGTGTCCACGCATTGAGTATCTGTGACAAGGGAGATTCTAGAAGATACTAGGTAACTGATGGTTTTCCAACAAAACTAAACAGCCAAAGATCATTATGGTCAGTGTGCATGAGAAAGCCAACTTTGGGAGTGGTTACTTGGTAGTCCGGTGATATTATGCTAATATCTAACAGGGAAGAGATCTTAACCCGGAGATGTTGAATCCAAAGTTAGTACTATTCCCACTACTAAATAGTCTCCAAACTCAGTCAAGCTCTTCATCTGCCAGGCAATCACTTGGTTCATCCTCTGGTCTTTGCATCACACATTATGACCCAGTAATAGGTAATAGGTAATTTACTGGCTCTTGATCAGCAAGTTTTAATGACAGAATAGAATAGAATCACAATAGGCTAGAAAATGTAATTTCACCATCCGTATTAAATATAACGTTGTTTAATAAATTTTATTTCAGATATAAGTATGTACGCATACTTATATGCATGACTTGCAATGTCATATGTTTTTGTATCGGTTAGTTTTTTTGTTCTGTTTTGTTTTAGTTTAGTTTTAGGTCTTCGTTCAAAAGTTTGAAAAAATATTGATCCTTACTATTTTACTTTCCATGAGTCTTTTAAACTTTCATCCTTTTTTCAAGATGCCCTTCCACATTTGTTTTCCATATCCTTCCTTCCTTCGTTCACCTCTTCACTTTTCCTTCCTCTCATTCCTTCTGTTACACACAGAATTCAAAAGCAACATTTGGAAATGCTGTGCACATTCACAGCAGTGCTGCACACTCAAAGTACTTCACCAAGTGAAACAAGTCCAAAGTGTTTAAAGAGTAGATAGTCTTCTTAACACAGAAAATGAAACACTCATCTTCCCACTTCTTTTCATGAAATCTTTCCTTACCCATTGTACTGTGGGGAAATCTCTTCCTTTTCATAAGGTGAAATTCTCTGCCTATACTTTCAACTTACTGATGGACGCTCATTATTCCTTCTGTTTACTGCCTTTTTATGCAGTTTTATTCCTCTAGTCCCTCTCCGCTCATCAACAGTGAAACCTCTCCTACGCTAAAAAACAAAATCTGTGCCTGACTTGCCTCTGAATACAGATATATGACAGAATTCTTTCACACATAAGTGATTTCATCAGACTCATTTCTATGTATGGCCTGAATTCTAGTCTTATCCCAGGATAATGAAGACTTGTACCTGAATATTTAAAATGTTTTTATTTATACCAGCTCCAAACTAGACACAACCAAAATGTCCCTCCAGAGGCTGACGATAAAACAAACTCAAGCACATCCACACCTTAAAATATCACTCAGTAAAAAAGGAATTAACCATTGACACAAGTAAAAAGAGACCAATCTCTGTGAATCTCCATTGAACTGCACTAGTTCTAAAGAAAAACCCCAAAGGTAACATTTATATGATTTCATTTATATAACATTTTTGAGTTGGAAAGATCTTGTAAATGGAGGATCAGTAGTTAGGGATTTGTGGGGTATGTGGCCATAGGGAGGTGCTTGTGGTTACAAAAGAGCAACCTGAAGGGGTCCTTGCAGTGTTAAAATTGTTCATTTCTGTGGTAGTAGGTAAGTGAACAAATGCAGTTGATTAAAATTGTATATAGAACAGAATACACATACATGAGTACAAGTAAAACTGAGGAAATGTGAGTAAGATTAATGGATTGTTTCAATGCCAATATTCTGGTTATATTATACTACCACTTATAGAATATTACCATTGGGAGACATTGGATGGAGTGTAAAAAGACATTTTTGTATAACTTTTTAAAACTTGTAAATCTACAATTACCTTATTAAAATGTTATTTATCTTAAATTTAAAATGATCCTAAGTATCCACTGGAAGTGTTCCATAAATTATCACAGACCTATATAATGCTATACAAGATCTGGAAAGAATGGATACACTCACTGTACTTTGGGGAAAGGAGGCCAAAAAAGACTAATTGCAAAAGCAAGTGATAGAAAAGTATTCATGATAAAATCTTATTGAGGTAACCACACACACACACACACACATTGCTTTTAGACATAGAAGCTTTCTATAAGAGATTGGAGAATGTTTAATTTTGAATTCATATCTTCATTTTGAGTTATTGTAATTATGAATATGTTCTATTTTATCACTTTAAAAGCTCATCTAAAAATATTCGATTTTATCCATACCCTCCTCCTTTTAAAGGAAAGCAAAACATAGAATGAGTCCTATCAATAAATTTAAAATGCAACTCAAAAGGTTTTTCAGATGGAAAGTCACACTTTTAAACTATAAAGCAGAGGATACATGTACATAATATTTTGTTTCGAAAGAAAGGTAGGAGATAGAGTGAAGAAAACAATCTTTTTCTTTGTATTCTCCCCTCTGCTCACTTACTGGCTCTTTGACAAATATATTTCTATATTTAAACAAAAATGTAAGTTTAAATTTTCTAGTAGCAAATTTTCACAATGAAAAACAGATCAAATTAATTTTAATATATATTATTTACCCCAATAGAATCTGTTAATTCAATATATAATTAATATAAAAGTATTACTTTTATTTTGCAGTGCTGGATATCAAACACAAGACCCAGCGCTTACTAGTCTAGTGCTCTAGTACTGAGCTACATAATGCAAGCCTTAAAAAATTACTTCTAGATTAATGTAAAATTTCCCATTCTTGTTTCGCATACTAACTCTTGAAATCTAATGTGTATTTTACACCTACAGCACATCTCAGTTTGACCTAGCCGTATTTCGAGCCTGCAAAAATCACCTAGACATAGTGGTTTCCTTATAAGAAAGACAAATGCCGACTTAGTTGGAACCCATTATAAATGCGCTGCCAAAAGAGGGAAAGCTTAAAGAACTCTAGTCTTCAATGTCTGTAAAGCGAGAGAAATCAACTTGATAAACAAGCATGAAAATAAAAAAATATATATACGAAAAAAGAAAGGAAGGAAAATAATTATTGGTTGATGTGTTTGGGGCGATAGGTTGGGGGGCGAAGGGAGTAACAAAGTGAGGCCCCCTCGAGTATGGGGTGGATCTTCAAGTTTTAACGGAGCTGCAGAAATGTCCAAAGTTGAGCGGACCCTGCAGCTTGGCAGACACACGCAACCACCCCGGGGCCGCGGACTGTTTGTTTTGGGGAAGCTTGGCTACAGCGGAAAATGGCCAGGCTCCTCCTGCCCTCCTCAGCTCTACCTCTACTCCCCCGACACGAATTCAGGCATTGAAAGCTCCTGCTCACTCACCAGCAGCGAAATCTTCCGGTTTGCTCGTGAAGACTGCGCTCAGAGTCTGTAAACAAAGGGTAACCACGACGACAACCAATCCCACGGAAGCTAAAGCAGCTTTTCCTTACAGGTGCCCCAGAGGGACAAATACATTTGATTCTACATCGGAACGAACGCTGCATTTCACGAGTTGGACGAGAAGTTTTCTAAGTAGTTTTTAATATTTAAATAATTTTACAAGCTATTAATCAAAGAAATTATGTTTATTATAATTATTCCAGTAAATATATCCCGACTTTTAAGTTGTTTCTGAGCTCTCTCAATTTATACTGGTATCTAGTAAATATTCAGTTGCCTATGTAGAAATTGTTCTTTCCATAAAACCTTAATCCTGAAAGTGATTTCTTGGACCTGGAAATACAGAGGGGAAACCGATAAACTGTTTACTATCCATTATAACAGTTTGTCTATGAAAAGAAAAAACTCAATTATCATCAGAAACTTCGAAAGCGATATGTGGGGCGGAAATTCCAAAAAGTCCTATTCCAGAATTCTTTGTAAAATATTGATCAAAATCCACTATTTTAATAAAAATCTGAAGTTCTAGGCACGAATCGTTTTGTTTAATATTAATTTAAAAACGGATCAAAATTTCTTTTGTGGAAATAATATACAAGAATTCATAAACCACTACATTTTATGTTTTAATTTATAGTTTCCTGTTTTAATATTTTTAAAGTTTGAAAGTAGGGCACTAAATTTAAGAAGAAAGTGGTTAAGCGTTGTAAAATACATCTGCTATACAATACACTAAAAGCAAAAAATTCATTAATCCTCTGAAAAACATTAAACTGTTTACTAGTAACAATAAACTTCACCAACATAAAAATGGATAAAATATGATGAGAAATTAATAGACATTTGATGTTAAAAACTAATTCTAGAAAGATAATAACTTAATAAAAATAAACAAGACCAAGCTTAAAAATCTAATTATATTAAATATATTTTCATTATAAAAGGCCATCTTGAAGAGTCATTGTTTAGTTTTATTGCTGATTTACAGACTATTAAAAGGTTTCATTTAAAATGGTTAGGCTACCATATCACATATATTATCCTTTTTTTTTTTTGAGACAGTCTTAGTATGTAATCCAGGCTGACCTTGAAATTACTATATATCCCAGCCTAACCCGAATTCATGGCAATCTTCCTGCCTCAGCCTCCCAAGTGCTAGTATTACAGTCTTGTGCCACCACAACTGGCTTCATGTATAATATCTTAAGTTTAATTTTATTTGTGATTATCAACCCACCAAGATTTTCCTAAAATTTATCGAATCCTTTAGTAATGAATGTTATTTTATTTATGTATTTATTTATTTATTTTTGTACAGGGGATTGAACTCGGGTCCTTGTGCTTGTAGGAGGTGGCAGAACCACTGAGCTAAATCCTCAGCTGAATTTTAAGTAACTAATTTTTAATAACTAACTTTAGAAGTCAACTAATTTGAACATAATATCTAACTTGACCTCATGATAGCAAAACTAAATAGAAAGTCCTTCTGAAGATGAGTTACTCTATTTGGCAGGGATTTCTAATTTCAATTTTTGTTTTTGCTTTTTGATACTAGGGATCAAACTTGGGACCATGTGCTTTCTAGGCAGGTGGTGGAACCACAGCCCTCTAATTTCAATTTTTACTTTGAAAGAAAACTAACAACTCTACAGCCATAACTAAGTGAGAATATTACTCAAAACAGAATGCAACAGTTATCATCTAATATAGCAGCTATAAGTTATCAGTAAATTTCACTGTTGCTTTTCAACTACTAGTGCTTACTGGATGTATGGTTGATTGATATCTTTCTAGAAATTGTAGCCTCAGATTGAGTATGTTACTTTGCCCATGAGCTTTCACTTTTAGTATTTATTTTCTTTATTTTATTGATATTTTGCAAATCATTTTGAAGTCTGGTTGATGTACAGCCTAACAGCCTAATGCAACATATTTCCTTTTGAGAACAGGTAATAAAATATTTATTGAAAGAATGTAAGGATGAAAGAAAACTCCTTTAACAAGGATAGTATTTCTTAGAAAATTGTAATTGAATGGTGGAACCATTTCAATTTTAAAACATGTTTCAATGGCTCTTTTGTCTTCACATGACAGTGACATAATTTAAATATCATAGAATGTCACCATAGTGCTCAAAAGTAGCCTCGTATATCTTTCTTTATTTCATTTTCTTGAGGAAAGGTGGTTGTTGAGGAATAATACATTTAACATGTGGCTAATAGTGTTGAATTCTAAAAGCTGTTCCCTTGTCCCGGTTAAAGGCCATTCCAAATCTTCAGGGCGTTTCCTCACCTCTTTGTACTTCCTCGTTGCAGCTAACGTGATCAGTTACTCTTCAGGAAAAGGACAGTACCTTTCTGGTTGTTCTCATATCACTTTCTACCTTCGCACACACTTCTTTTGTACAATCTTAGTGTTTTCACAGGCTGTGGTATCATAAGATTCAGAGCTAATATTGACTAACACTTTACAACCATACTATCTTAATTTTAGAAACGTTGCTTTGAAGTATATTCTATTACCACCCATTATCACAAAGGACGACCCTAGGACTTGGAAAGATTTTCGAGAGAGTAACATGTAACTCTGAGTTTGCATCTCAACTTTGCCATTTATTAACTTGGTAATCTCAGGTAGGATTTTCGCTTTGTTTTTATTAGTACATATTTGTTATACATACTGATTACATACATCATAGGGACATTTGTACCTGTACATGATATATCTTAATTCTTTTTTTATTCCTCTCCTCCCTTCCCCATTTCCAAAAGCTTTGTTTCCATCTTTTCCCTTCCATTCTCATTTTTTCCCTTTTCCTAACTTTCCTTCCCTCTCCCCCTCCCTTTCCCCTCACATTTGAACAGGTTCTTCCCGCTTCCTGATATCTATCATCCCTTGTGTTCTCTATTTACTCTGTGGGATTCTCAAGCAAGAGAAATAATGTGATAATTAAATATGTGTGTCTGATTTATTTACTTAAGATTAAGGTCTTGAGGTGCATTCATTTTCCTACAAATTATTCACGTATCCTTCTTTATGGCAGTACTGCATTGTATATAAATGCCACGCTTTCTTTATCCATTCATGTGTTGAGGGGCATATGGGGTGTTTCCAAGATTTAATTATTACAAATTGTGCTGGTATAGACACGGGAGTGCATATATCACGGATGAATCTCCATGCATTTTTCCATAATGTAATTTTGGCTACAATCAACTTCAAAAAACAAAAAACAACAAAAAAAAAACAAATTCAACGAAGACTGCAGGTATGATCCATCGCATTACTTACTTATTCTACTTGTCTAGCCTTGTCTTTCATCTTTGCCACTCTGATCCATGACGCCTCACACCTTACTGAAAAGTTAACAAGCATAATATTCTATTTCTCTTCACTATATTCTACTTCCACTCCATTTGTGACCAGCTCCTTCATAATCATCCTTCAAAGATTAGCTCTAATTCATCTTCTCTATGAACTTTCTCTGCTTCCTTTATCCCTCCCAAGCAAATACATAATTTAGATTTGACCACGGGTTTTAATATTTAACTCCTTGACATGCTCTGACTTGTTCATTTGTTTGCTTCTCCTCATATTTAAAAGGAACACAATATAATCACCATGAGACTAGAGTTTACTTGGTGAAAAACAATACCTATGAATAGGTGAATTATTATGCATTGTCCCATCCCTACCGCATTTCTAACATTTAAAAATGTTTGTTGTTAGAGCATTAATTGACTAGTTAGAAACTGAACAAAAGTGTGCCCATGCCTGGACTTTATCTTTATTTTTTATATATACTTAGTCTTTTTTATTTCTTTTTTTGTAGTACTAGGGAATCGAACTCAAGACCTTGTGCTTGTGAAGCAGGCACTGAGCTAAATCCCTGGCTCTGGACTTTATCTTTTAAAGCTTAGAACAAAGTATTTGTTCATTGAAAAGGAAAATATACATCTTCCTTACTATAAATATGTAAGTAAGAGCTGCAAAATCTTGTGTGTATTTAGGTTAGAACATTTTTATTTTCCTGGCTTTATTTCTTACGTGTGAGGATTACAGCAGGAAAAAAAAAACCAAAAAAACAGCCAAGATCGTTGCTTCCGTCATAGATAAACATCACCTAGATTTTCTTACTTCATTGCCTAGGTTCCCACTTTGCTGTGATCTAGCTCTTTGAGTTGAAGGGCTTTTTTATATTTATCATGAATATCATCTTTACTAAGTTGACTGTTTTTTCTAACTTTTATATCATGTAGCACCATTCTAGAAATTTCTTTGTCTACTGATTTCCACCAGATCATGCGTGCTGTATAGTTTTACTTTGTAAAAGTCAGCTATAAGAAATTCTCAACTGTGATCAAGTCTGCATAGCTTGTGCTATTCAGGACTTTATAGGTTATAACCACACAGATAAACTCTATTGCTTCAAACTTAATCCTTATATCTCAAGCTTCTGAATTTTTCTTCTAAGCTATTTTCTCAGTTTTTCTATATCCAGTGATTATGATGATTTAATTTTCCCACCCTACAGGAATTTCTGTGATGATCCTTGTTTTCCATACCACTGCATAGTGAAACTGTAGCCATGCTCTCTTTTGCTCCTCCACAGCTTTTTAATTGCTCTTTCCTGAGGTTCGCTAATTCACTTTTCGTCTTCATCTCACATACATGCTTACGGCCAACTGCAGCAGTGTGACGGTGTCACTAAGTCTGTGCCAGTGAAAATGAGCAAAGGAAAGGTGTGCAACTTCCAGCTCCTTTGCTTAAAGAAGGTTTGTCTGTTCCCTCACTTTCTTTGCCTTTCTGCAGGTATAAAGGATGATACTTGGAATACATGTGGGAAGTACATATTGAATCAGCCTAAGATACAGTTATGTTTCCAAAAGAAATAAGAAGACAGGGCCAGGGATTTAGCTCAGTGGTTCCGTAACCCCAACACCTGCCTCGCAAGTGCAAGGACCAGAGTTCGTATATAAAAAAAAAAAAAAAAAAAAAAAAAAAAAAATCGATCATGCATCTTGAGCTGAGAGAAATAAACATCAATGGACTTGGGTATCTGAATTTTCTGATAATGCATTTCAGCTTGACCCTACCTCACATGGTAATTATTCCACTCCGTACTCAAGTCCATCCCTGAAATACTTCACACCGGGATTACTGAAGGTCTCTCTGGTTCACTCGTTTCCTTTTTTCCTCCTCATTGCAGAAAGACAGAGGCCAGGACTTTGGGATTAAGTTCTTGTTCAGACTGCAGGAGAGGATCATAGGTTTCCAACGTGCTGCAGCAAATAGAATTGAAGCAAAAAAAAAAAAAAAAAAAAAAAAAACCAAAAAAATTGGGGGGAAAAGCAAAAAAAAAAAAAAAAAAAAAAAAAAAAAAAGACCTACAGCATCTGAGGGAGAAATTGCAATAAAAATCAGGCCGACTTTCCCACTGCATGTCCCACTGAAACACACCAGACATTATAACAAATCAAGGAATATTAATGTGGGACGGAAACTAAAACAAAAACTGACAAAAGAATAACTCAAAGCGGAGGTAGGAGACAAAGCCTAGAAACCCCCTTGAAGTCAAAGCAAGAACCTTGGGAGTTTTAGCAGGAATATGACTTCAGTTCAAAGTAGGGAGGGGAGAATATTATGTTTAATGTGAAGATTTCCTATTTCTCCACTTTTTAGTGCATCTTATAGTTCACTGAAGAAATTTACTTATACCTAGCCAAAGACAAATAGTTTTAAATTCATCTCATTATATCAGGTTTCATTATGCCAATTACGCACTGCATATAATATATCATGGTAAGTAGTAATACTTGTAAAAAATGGTTCTAACTAGAATTAAGATAATGAAGGGAAAGAAAATGTAAAACTTCCATATCTAGTAAACAAAGCACAGAAACTCCTGCAGTGTGTTTTGCTGATGACCAATTTCAGAAGAAAATACAAAGAAGGACATAGGTAGGCAGAATTAGGGAAATGTTACTGTTTTGAATGTGTACTGTAAAAGTTATAGTTGTCTTTTTCAGAATAATTACACTCCATGGAGAAACAAAATGTTAAGGAAAATCAAAATTTTCAATTTTTCAATATTTTCTTAATCTCATTAATCAAGCTATTTAAGTAAGAATCTTCATAATTATGTAGTAAAGAAAATAATCATTTATATAGGCAACTACTGAAAAATAAGCATTGTCCTTTTTGTAGGGTCTTTGACTTTTATTCATTCAATTTTGTGGATGCTTTTATTGGACAGAAGTAATTTTTTTTTTTTTTTTTTTTTTTTTTTTAGTAGCTTTGGGTATGTATCTACTTCAATGAGACAAAGAATTCCATTTTAAGCAATTGCATGATTTGTTCAGTAGGTGGCAGTATTTCTCTAAAATTCATTAAGTGTGGCTCTATTTTCTGAAAGTCCCTGTCCAGTGGTTTTATAAATGTCTTATTCAAGAACAAGACTTAAATCTAAGACCATAAAGGAGGAAAAATTTTGGAAGAATGAGATAGGAACGCTTTCTGGAGAAAGGAGATGATGAAAATGGAAAACTGATTTGGTCTGGGATTGAAAAATACCCAATTTAACCGCATAAATAATGTATTGGGCCTTCCCCCCTTCTTTATACGCAACTTTTAATCAACTGACCACTGCTTATGTTTTTGGCATCACTTTTACTTTATAGTAATACTTTTCTACATGAAATTACCTCTTATCTCTATACTCAACCATTTTCCAAACGTCAGTGAAATAATTCATTCAAAATACAAACTTAACCATGGAACTCTCTCATTAAGTGTTGTTCAATGGTTCCTCATTGCCATTATTTACCCATATGCCAAATATTTGTGGAGCTCTTCTACACACCAGGCACTGCCTCATGTGCTGAGGATACAGTAGTAAACAATAAAACGAACAAACAACCAAAAAAGCTCTTGTCCTCTTAAAACTTAAATTACAGGGAGAAATATTGGAAAATATCACACACAATACCTATAATTTCACCTTTGCAAGTGATTCCTGTCTCTTTCCCTCAAAAGGTCAGCACCAGCACAGCTGAGTTTCCTATACACGTTGTGCTGTGCAGTCTCAGGAATGACTCCACCCCTCTGGACTGTATTCTTCCAATTGAAAGCCTAAACTCAGGCATTATTTTTCTCCAGTAATTTTATTCAGACCTTTGAATTTCTTCTCATACCACCAGGTAAGTTTCCCCGGTACCAAATAATACATTAGTAATTGTTTCAGCAACTTGTGCTGAAATGGAGAGTCTTGATTCATGGCATTTGCTCATCTCCATGGTTTAACTAGGCCCACAGTGCCCAATTTCAGCATGCCAATGTAAATTCAGTCAGCGTTCAGGTTGTTTCAAAAATGTAAGAATTGGCTTTTCTGATGTAGTACAAGCTGTTCCAGCATATCACTACCTCTACTATCCTATCATAAAAAGGTAGCAAATCTAATTAATTTAGATTTTTACAAAAATATTTGTTAATTACTCTTCTGTAATTTGTATCACAGCACTAAGCATCCAGTAGTTAATCTGTTATACAGTCGCTAGTAGTGAGTACTCTCAATAGATGGTAAAATGAAACATTGTATACAAGAGACATCTGACCCACACGTTAGTACTAAAAATCTTTCAATATATGACTAAAGGGATGAATGAATTCATGAATATTTGCATATACATTAGACATGGGAGAGGTCACTTTAAAAAAAGTTATCTTCTATAACAGGAGCTAATGAAGATAAGATAAAGGTAAAGAATACTTCAGAGCATGAAGAAATTCTCTATTAAGTTGGAAAATGAACAAAGGTTGGTCCTGAAATTAAAAGGTGCTAGAGAGAGAGAGAGAGAGAGAGAGACCCATAACTGCTGCTTATGGATGTACGTGTACCAATCTACACAAGGAATGTAATCACGTGCTAATAAAAGTTTAAAACATAGTTTAAAAATAAAAACTAGGAAAAAAAATAAATAAAAAAATAAAAACTAGAAAAATAAAATAGCACTCCTTAATAAGTTATTTTGTTGCTCCCACAGATGAAAAGAATCACTTTATGTATATTTATCGGATGGTGATTGGAGATGGGTCTGTTCTGGTTTTTCTTCGTCTCTTGGGTTAGTGGGCAATTCACAATGAAATCACGTGGAGCCCAATCATGGTACCCTAATTATGCGTTTCATTCCAGTAGCAACAGTTTTGTAGTTTATATTTTAAGTACGCAGGTTACGCAAGTGGGCAGTAGTGATTTCTGACACCATCATACTTCGGCGCAGTATGTCCTTTTGGACAACCCAAACGAAGGGTCCCCATCTAAGAAGCTGTTCTAGGTTGGAGAGATTTTCATAGACCAAACCCACACCTCCCTTAATGAACTGATGGTTAACTTTTGAAAAAGAATCAACAGTAATCCAACTACAGCCAAGCAAATTTAAGAATGTAAAGACTGAAATCAGAATGCAATATATAAAGAACAGGAGTATTGCGTCGTATTTAAAAAAAAACGTTCGCTAGCCAGTACATTTTCTCCCTGTCAATGTGCCTTATAGAAAGCTAACTTGGAATTGGTATTAAAGTTTTATCATTTAAAAAAGGGAAATCAACAGCTGAGCCAGACTGACTCTGGCATCTGGACAGCCCACTGTCTCCTTAGGCCGCTGACATGAAAAACATGATAATCAGCAGTATAGACCTGAGCATGACCCACTTACCATGCCTGTAACAGGTGTGTATCACAATTTACACACTCAGATGAAATCTAGCTTTTCATTTTTCTTTGAATGATATGAATTTTAATTCACAGCCGCTCTCCTGAAGCATTTCGTTCCTTGCCAAGGAGAATGTGAAAATACTTTGCTGCTCTATGCCACCAGAGTGAGGAACCTAAATACTAGTTATCAGTCCTCAGCCATTATCGTGAAAGCAGCCACTCGTCAAGGTCCCATAATCCTCTCAGGTCTGTTCATTCCGCCGTGTTAGTGACCCGGGGTGGCACAGATAGCATGGCTACTCATCTAGTGTATGCCAGCGTAGGTGTCCTGGGGAAACACGCCCTCATTACAGTCCCTCTGTGCAGTGTCCGTCCTCTCAGTCGGTCCGGTCTCTTCCATGACAGACGTTAAAGCAGCCATGCTTGAGGCGAGTATCTGTCCCCGCCCATTTTCAGTCGTTGCTACTTGTTATTATTTGAGTATTATCCCCGGCACAATCATTTTAGTCAAAGGTTGAAACCACACACTCATTTCCCTTTGGGATCTCCTTAGCCGGGAAGCCACGTAACGTACCTATTGCTCTGTGAACTCACAGATTTCCAGGATCACTTTTGGAATATTTTTTAATCTAAACAAAGACTCTTGTCAAAGTCCACCCCGCTTCTCAAATTTTATCTTTCTCTCTGTCCAGGTGGTTTAACATAATTTTCTCATTGGCTTTCAGTATTAAGAGGTGGAAATCGAGACCAAAATGGCTTAAGAAATCTTTATTTTATTTTTATTTTTTTTTGTCCTTGTGACAAGTTTCTACTTAGGCCAAAGAAACGCACAGACCATTTTTAGTATAATGCAGATTAAAGAAGAGCAAGGCAGGACATTAGAGGGAGAAGAATGTGAATAGCTCAGAAGTCTCTGCCTCAAGTGAGTCAAGTGTTAATGACATCCAAGGGAGAAAGCCTGATAGGTGCCATCAGAAAGATTTACATGTGAACATAGGATCTGATTGGTTAAACCCTGGAGCCAAGACATCACCATTCTTTATGGATATACCATAAAAAATAAGGCAATTTTTTGTCATCAGGACTCGTGATACACTCTTCTGAACTTCCAAATACTTTTCTGATGAAACAATGAATCATTTTGATTCACCCTGTCAGATGATGAGCAAATTATTTAGACCTAAAAGGTACTGCAAGACTTAAAGGTGATTTTAAATATACCTACTTTAGTCGAAGACATTTAGTACTTTTTATCATTGTAAACAATTTTTGTTGCCTTTTTCAATTTCTTATTATTAAATATAAAGTGAGCTCTTATATATACTGTAAAGCTAAACTTCTAAATACAGATAAAGAGAATTTTGTCACTGAAAATTTGTCTCAGAAAATAAAAACGTTTAGGTTAAACAGAGCATTTCAATTGGCTGTTTGAAACTGTTAAGTATTTAAGATATGGGAAATTAATACTGCTAACAAGAAATCACTGGTCCTTGTATTTTGCCTACTGAATACCCTGACTCCTGACTCCTAGAATTCTATATAATATTTATCAAGTTATGAAAT